GCCAGTGAATATCCGTGAATATCCAGTGAGTTGCCAGTGAATAGCCAGTGAATAGCCAGTAAATATCCAGTGAATAGCCAGTGTGTAGCCAGTGAATAGCCAGTGAATAGCCAGTGTGTAGCCAGTGAATAGCCAGTGAATATCCAGTGAATAGCCAGTGAATATCCAGTGAGTTGCCAGTGAATAGCCAGTGAATAGACAGTGGAAAGCCAGTGAGTTGCCAGTGAGTTGCCAGTGAGTTTACAATAAAAAATATAAATTAAGAAGTTGCCTTATACAAGATCCGTTGTTAAAATTTGTGTGGTAGACTATTAAAAAATAATCTTTGGGACTATCCCTTTCAATAGCGTAAACTAGTTACACCAAATAAAATAATAGAGTAATATTTTCAATTTAATACTAGTTATTTTATTAAAATTGATATTTATTCAAAAATGCCAATTCATGGAGATTTTACGAAGATTTGAAAGTGATGAAATTGTATTCTGGGATTATTCCCTTCAATAGCGTACTCAAGGTACATGAAATAACTTATCACAATATTATTTTGAATGTTATACAAGTTTTTTTGTTAATTCTAGACAAATTTTAAAAACATTTGCCAAATTGAATCACAACACCCTACCCTTAAACTATGGGACTATTCCATCAATTGGCGTACGCTAGGTACACCATGTTGTAAGTTAAAATAATTTTCCAAATTTAATCGGTTTTAGTTTGACTATAGATTTATCCAATTAAGACTAACAAGCTTGATGCGAGTCCATTAACAAATATCCAATAAGGGCTCTCATATTGAATAGAATAGTCTAAACCTCAAATCTAATATTTAAAAATAATATTTTCAATTTTATAAAGTTATTTTTCTTCAAGAGAAAGTTTGTATGGGATGGAAGTTCGAACACATATACTTTTTCAAACAGTTAAAACTCATAGATACATAGATCCCGCCAACAATACGACCATCAGATATACCTACCATAATCATTTAACATTATTATCATTCTTTACACAAGTCTAAACATCATATTGGAAAAACAAATAAATATTAATAAACAATAATTAATTTTAATCAAAATTTCACAGTTGTTTGAATCTCTTTGACAATGACTCAATAGACAAGTCATTAACAAATATGATACATATAACATTAGTACAAATACATACGGGCAGTGGATCATTTGATTAAACAATAACATTGAAGCTTATTCATCAACTTCATGACATCCATATTTACAACAACAACAACAGATGATAAAGGTCGATCTATCAACTCCTGACAACGTCACTCAACACCTCAACATAATATATCTTGTTACTCCTCTTATGACATCAACGCGAATTGATCAATATCAATCATCATCATTGAACTACAAAACACCAGATATCATGCATGCCTTTCGAATGCGTCTCGACACAACGATGATGCACCAACATTGTTCAACACATACGTTTGATACACCAACAGATTCAGTACATCTACAGGAATCGATCCATATATAATATGTGACTTTTGAACTTATTCTTACAAAGTACAGCTTGCAGAGACATCATTTCCCTTTACACGCCAAGAGTCGCACTCCAACTGCCACCAACATCTCGATAACACCTACAATAGCATACCAACAGACTCAACACATCAAGGTGAATCGATAGATATATTGGGCATCACTACAAAACAAAAAAAAAAAAAAAAAAAAAAAAAAAAAAAAAAAAAAAAAAAAAAAAAAAAAAAAAAAAAAAAAAAAAAAAAAAAACATCGTCCAACAAACACCTATGACACATAATCAGACTCGACC